TCGAAAACTGTGAGTTGGAGAGGTGCAAAAAGAAAATTGAAATTTGACCATGACCTTGTACCGGTTTTTCTGACCTGGTGACCTGACCCAAGGTCACCCGGACCTGAAATTTTCAGGTCATATGTAAAAAGGTTGCCCCATAGGCTGTGCCAACTTTGGCGGCGCTGCGCGCCGCCGTTTTTACGCTATCTTCGAAAAACCTTAGGGGGGGGGTCGCATCGACCCCCCCCCCTGCCAGGGCGAGGGTTAAACCTATTTGTTGTATATATATATATATATACTATACACTTGCGCGTGTATGCTCGCGTGTGTGTCTGTGTGTGGAGTGTGCACGTGGTAGTTGAGATAGTATTTATTGACTTTCAACTAGCTTTGATGTGAGCGGCGTCGTGTCACAAGCGCCCCAAGCGCTTTTACGCCAATCGCGTTATAAGATGAAAGATGCATTTTGTATATGAGCAAATAAATTCTCTCTCTCTCTCTCTCTCTCTCTCTCTCTCTCTCTCTCTCTCTCTCTCTCTCTCTCTCTCTCTCTCTCTCTCTCTCTCTCTCTCTCTCAAATGGACAATTGTTGTTGATAATGACCGTTTGTTGTCATCTCCCCGTTCGCGAAACCTCAAGTTATGCTCCCTCATTGAGGCTCTTAGGCGGGTAATAAAGCATGAGGGATGTGGGTTCCGCATTCTCAAGCAGTATTTTTCAACAGTTGGTGAAATATATGTTAAAACAAACTAGCATATACGGCGGTTTAGTGTACTTTAGGTCCGTCTGATGTGCCCGTCGTTGCGTTTTCGCAACGCTGATGGCGCCCGGTGTGCCCTTCGTTGCGATTTCGCAACGCACGTTTTTTACGTTTTCCTCGAAAAACTTTTGCTGCCTGCAAAAATTATTTTCGATTCCATGCAAGGCCCTGGTAGAAGCGTAACATATCTTGATTTCATCGATTTTCATGATGGTCAATATTCCTGGGCATAAATGGATTAAAATGCTCAACCAGAATTTGCACTTGTTCATGCATGAATGGCTAAGTTTGGGGTGTTTATTCAACCCTGACTGCTCAAGTTTTTCAAAGGCACATGACACAGCACGGCTAGATCAGCTGGTACCTACCTGTTGACTCTGTTGACTATTTTTGTTTTTGGTGGTGATGTGTTTGCTGTTTGTCTTTTGCAAGGTTGTCAATGAAATAAAATAATGCATTATTTTGGAATGTTTCCTTGACAGAAGCCAGGAGCCGGATTGATGTGTGCTGGTGAATGAGATGGTTCAAAAGCATTATCTGATGTTTTTCAATGTGCATAAGTCATAACATCCCTTTCATACGCTGAAGTTTTAATAGCTTCTCAGTCTCTGTCATTTTCCTGAAATATTGGTGTAGATAAGAGATATCAGTACCTTCTCAGAGGTACCTGCCTTCTGCTGGATGAATATTTAATTGGTTGGACGAAATGGACAGGTAGCCTTATGATAATGCAATGTGAAATCTTATTTCTATAAAACTGAACATGAAGTTCTAATTATTCATATGTGCATACATTTTTGATGACCAAGAAAGTTTTCCACAAGAGTAGAAAATGTGGGAAAGTCTATCAAATGACACATTCTGAAGGCTCAATGCTGACAGAGTGCTGCCTCAAAGAATAACTGACTTGCTGGGTTACGAATATTTCTTTATTTTAATTTTCAAATGTAATGTACAATACATTGCAGTGAAATAACAAAATTGTGCAGTAAAATAGTATTGGCGACGATCAAACAACACGTGCGCCATTGATGTCTGCAAAAATTGCTACCAGATTGCTACCAACTCCGTGACGTAGCTACGGCGCCTTTATTTCCCTAGTGAACCAACCTGAGTAGTAAAGTAATCTTGGCGCACTCAGGTGATGCGTTGCGGATATACGACAGCGGATATCGACCAGCAGCTGCGAGACCGCTGCGTTCTGGGCAGCAGTGGCGAGCTGCAGCGGAGGCTGGTCCGGGAGGCAGCTCTGAAGGGAACCGACCTGACCCTTCAGGACATCAGGAAGACGGCTCGCGCGCATCAGGACGTGCTGGATTTGACGGCTCAGCTGGGGGGAGTGCCAGCGCCGGCAGCGATGGCCGCGGACACAGTTCAGGCGCTGCGGCTGTCGCAGCGACCGGAGACCGGCCGGCCGGCTGGGCACCCAGGCGCCTGTTTCCGGTGCGGGTCGACCGGACATTGGCAGCGCGACTGTCCAGCGGCCGGAGCCGTGCCGCGTGCACGCGACAGCCACCGTGCGCGCGACAGCCACCGTCCAGCTGGCCAAGCGGTCAGCGGCGGGCGCGTGGGAACGACCGGCGCACGAGGTCAGGCTGGCGCGCCGGACAGGACGAGCAGTGACGGCCCGGTCAGGCAGCGGCGGTGCTTTAAGTGTGGCTCCACCGGGCACCTGAAGGCGGCATGTCCGCAGCGGCGGGTGCGGCTGGTGGCTGTGGAGGAGGAGCAGACGGACGGCGACGGCGACGCGTGGCTGGTGAACACAGTCGAAGCCAGCGCCGCGGAGCCGGAAATGAAGACGGTGACGGTGAACGGCCAGCAGCTGGCCATGGTCGTGGACACGGGGAGCCCGGTGTCGCTGGTGAGCGCGGAGACAGCGCGGCAGCTGGGACTTCTGCAGCTGCTGGACCCATGTGACCTGCGCCTGACCTCGTTCACAGGTCAGGTCATTCCCTTGAGAGGGGAGGTGCTGGTCAGCGTCTCGGCGTCGGACAGATCCGCGACCCGTCTGCGGCTGGTGGTGACCGGTTTTGGACCCCACCGCCCGCTGATGGGACGCGAGTGGCTGCAGGCGCTTGATCTAATGACGTCACCGGCTCGGGTATGCCGCGTGCAGCCGGCGCGGACGCTCGAAGGCGTGCTGGAGAGGCACTCGGCGGTCTTCAACGAGGAGCTGGGACGCATCCCGATCAAGGTGGGACTGCGGCTGAAGTCAGACGCCAAGCCGGTGTACCGACGGGCGCGTCCGGTGCCGTTCGCCCTGCAGGAGGCGGTGGACCGCGAACTGGACCGGTGGGAGGAGCAGGGCGTGGCAGAGAAGGTGCCACCAGGGAGCGGCTGGGGGACACCGCTGGTGGTCATCCCGACGCAGAATGGCGTCCGCATCTGCGCAGACTACAGGCTGACTGTCAACCCTCAGCTGGAGCAGACCAAGTACCCGATGCGGACGGCCGATGAGCTGTTCTCCGGCGTCCGGGGGAAACGGTTTGCCAAGCTGGACTGCAGGAGCGCCTATCTGCAGGTGGAATTGGACGAGAACAGCAAGAATGCGACCACGGTGACGACACACAGAGGCGATTACAGGATGAACAGACTGCCGTATGGCATCTCTGTCTGTGGGGCACTGTACCAGTCCGTGATGGATCAGATCACGGCGGGACTGCCCGGCACTGTCAGCTACATGGACGATGTGCTGGTGTGGGCTGACACGGAGGAGGAGCTGCTGGAACGGCTGGACGCGACCCTGACTAGGATGGAGGAGAACGGCATCCGCCTGAGGCGAGAGAAGTGCAGCTTCAATGTGCCGGAGGTGACCTACCTCGGGTGGCGTCTGTCGGCGGACGCGCTCCGTCCGCTGGCAGGGAAGACGGAGTCGATCCTGCAGGCGCCAGACCCGGTGAACCAGCAGGCGCTGAAGTCGCTGATCGGCACGGTGAGCTACTATCAGCGGATCCTGCCGGGACTGGCTACCGTACTGACACCTCTGTACGCGCTGCTAAAGAAAGGAGTGAAGTGGCAGTGGACGGAGCAGTGCGCGGCGGCAGTGAAGAAGGTGAAGACAATGCTGTCATCAGCCCCAGTGCTGGTGCGGTTCGATCCTGACCGACCGGTGCGGCTGGTGACGGACGCCAGTGAGACGGGACTCGGCGCGGTACTGATGCAGGTGACGGCTGATGGACTGGAGAAGCCGGTACAGTACGCGTCTCGTACTCTAACGCAGACTGAGCGGAAGTACGCGCAGGTAGAGAAGGAAACTGCGGCCGTGTCATTCGGAATACGGCGCTTCCACCAGTACCTGATGGGCAGGCGGTTCACCCTGGTAGTGGACAACCGCACGCTGTCGCGGATCGTCAGCCCGGACAGGGATCTGCCCACCCTCGCGGCAGCTCGTATGCAGCGGTACGCGCTTCAACTGGCGGCGTATCAGTATGAAGTGGAGCTGCGGCGCTCCGGAGACATGAGAGCGGCGGACACGCTGTCCCGTCTGCCGGTGAGCAGTCCGGCGGAGGAGCGGGAGGCGGCGGAGGAAGGGGCTGAGTACGGCGGAGGAGGCGTCATGTTCGTCGTGCAGGAGCAGGGACCATGCCTCTCGGCCAGGGCTATCGCAGCGGCCACGCGCACGGATCCGGTGCTGGGTCGCGTACTGGCTGCGGTGCGGTCCGGCTGGCCGGGGATGATGGACGCCGAGCTGACGCCGTACAAGCATCGAGCGGACGAGCTGTCGACGGACGCAGACTGCGTGCTCTGGGGCGGCCGTGTGGTGGTGCCGAGGGCTTTGCAAGATCGTGTGAAGCAGCAGCTACACGAGGGACACAGCGGCTGCACGAAGATGAAGCAACTTGCTCGTCGGTTTGTCTGGTGGCCGGGGCTGGACGCTGAACTGGAGGCGCTCGCTCGGGGCTGTCCAGCCTGCGAGTCGAAGCGAGCGGCGCCGCCGCACGCGGAGCGGCACCCCTGGGAACCCGCTCAGGGACCCTGGCAGCGGGTGCATGCCGATTTTGCCGGACCTCTGAAGGGCACCTGGTTCCTGGTGATGGTGGATAGTTTCTCCAAGTGGGCTGAAATGATCCCAATGAAGACGACCACGTCCGAGCGGACCGTAGCGGTGATGAAGACGGTTTTTGCTCGTCTCGGACTACCGCTGGTGCTGGTAACGGACAATGGCCCACAGTTCACGAGCCAGGAATTCGCCCAGTTCGCCAGCTCTAACGGGATCTGACATGTCAGAGTGGCGCCCCATCACCCATCGTCTAATGGGATGGCGGAGCGAGCGGTCGGCTCGCTAAAAAACTCACTGAAGGCGACTCTGGCAGCAGACGACAGCGGAGGCATGGAACTGGCGCTCGCCCGAGTTCTGATGGCGTACAGGGCCACACCGCATGTCAGCACGGGACGGACCCCAGCGGAGGTGCTGTTGGGCCGCAACATCCGCACGCGGCTGAATCTGCTCGTTCCGACCGCCGAGGACGCGCTGCGGGACAGCGCGGAGCGACAGCAGACGGCAGCCGGCGGACGCGCCAGAGCGTTTGCGGTCGGCGCCGACGCGACGTCTGGGTTCGCTGCTACTCCGGGCCACAGAAGTGGGTGCGCGGTCGGATCGTCACACGCACTGGGCCCGTTTCCTACGAAGTCGACGTCGGTAGAGGCGGGTCGTGGTCACGGCACTGTGATCAGCTGTTGTCGGCCGCCGCTGACAGCACGGCGCCTGCCGAGGACCGCGGCAGAGCGGACGCGGCAGCACTCGCGTCCGATCGCTACTGGCCGCCCTCCGTCGGTCGAGACGGAGGGGAGGGCAGCGGCGTCAGCAGCAGCGGCGCGATCAGCCGGAGCAACGGTGCTTCTCAGCCGGAGCGGGCTCGCGTGATCGGCGCTGGAGCGGAGCGGCCTTCCGACACAGCAGCCGAGAGGCCGGCGGGAGCCGCAGCGTCGGACTCACCTGAGGCCAGAGCTGCAGCGGGCACGGACGGCGCCGCAGCCGGGAGGTCAGCCGGCGCCGGGGCGGCACACTGGACCGGTGCCGCGCCCGCAGCGGACAGCGCCGGTGGGTCCCGGGACGGAACGGCGGCAGAGGAGCCCAGCCGCGGACCGACCCGAGATGGGACGACAGCAGAGCGCGCGGCGCTGAACGAGTCGGCCGCGGCGCGGCCTGGAGTGACGGCGGGACCAGCGGGTCGAGCGGATCGCCACGCTGAGTTAACTGTGCCGCGTCACTCGACGCGCCGAGCGGCTCCTCCGAGGCGCTACATTGAAGAACTATAGCGTGTGTTCGATTCGATTCGATTCGATTCTCGATTGTTCGATTCGCGTCTTTGTTCGATTCGCGTCTTTCTGTCCTGTCCTGTTAGACTGGAGATCGCCGGAGATCACGCGTTCATTGTGTTTATGTTTCATATCTTTGGCGGTTAGATCGGTGTTTGTGATCTAGTGACGGGGGGTGAGGTGTGGTGTCGTGATACCGGCCCTTCCCCCCCCCCCCCCGGAAGCGGAGCTGAGCGCGCCCTTGCGGCGGCCAGCCGCCGCCGATCAGCCAGCTGGCCTTGAAAGGCAGTCGCCGGCCGCCGGCCGCGGAACCAGGTGTGCGCGTACGACCACGCGTTGATAGAATACAGACTGCCCGTTGAGTCCCTAGTGTCGCACCGGGTTCGCGAGCGGACGACCGAGGCCGCCACTGAAACGAAGGGGTGGCGATAGAACAGTAAGCTTTCTAAAAATGTGTATAAGTCACAAGTCAGTGATGACTTAACCCGCGCCATGGTGAGGGGGGGGGGGCTATTTTTTGCCCCCTCCAGACTTTTCGATATATCTCCAGAACCGCTGCGCCGATCTTCACCAAACTTTCTGTACCCTCCCGGACATCAATTTTACACATTGTGACCAAAAATTTTTCTAAAGGCTATGATAGGTTGGCCGGAAATGACGTCAGAGTGACGTCATGTTCTGCCGTTTTCGACCCAAAAAAGGGTTTCGCGGGAAGAGCTGTCAGGCCTATAGCTTTGCAAATACAGAAAAAAAACGATAAAAAATATAAAAGCTGTAGAATTGACAGGGCTACAAAACTGCTATCTCGGATTTTTGAAATGTTTGAATTTTGACCCCCAAAAATAAAAAATAGATTTTTTTTTAATATATTAGCCAACAAATCCAAAAAGTTTTCTGTATTTCGAAAAACCAGAATATATGTGATAGTTCCTACCACCTTCTATCTACATACCAAATTGGAGATCGATACCTCTTTTTTGGTTAAGTTATAGCGAAAAAAACTGTTCAAAATTGATGACGTCAAATTTTCAAACTCAATTTTTAGCAATTCTAGACCTCGTAGCGCAAAACAAAGACCACCATTAGGCTCCCCGTGACGAGCTGCATCGAATCCATACCCATTTTATGCAAAAATATCAACTTTTAAATTTGACCTTTTTTGACCTGACCCTGACCTGACCTTCACCAGAAAGTGACCTAAGCCGTACCTTATAGTCTTATAACCAACACCATTGAGTTGGAAATGAAAAATTGGCCATAAAACATGCATCGCACAACCTTAGTACCTAAAGTTAGGTTCATGTGACCTGACCTGTGACCCTTGGTGACCTGACCTGTGACCTGACCTGGTAATATCAGTGACCTCTTATAGCAACATATGTATTAGGCAACTGACGCCCTATCGCTGATTCTCGACAAAATGCGTTTTCTTCGGTGTTATAGCGCATTCCCTAGATGACCCGTGAACGGTGAAACATTTCATCTTTGACCTGACCTGTGACGTCATCGGTGACCCCGAGCTCAATGAAATTTGGTTTCCTTCGACAAATTTGACAGGCCTTTCGAACGCCGTTTGAGTTTTGCGGATCCGTCCAGTAGTTTCGGAGATACGAGGGGGGCAAAAAATAGCCCCCCCCCCACCAGGTCGCGTTATAAACAGACCCCACCTGGGCGCGGGTTAACCCGCGCCCCGCTGGGGGGGGGGGGCAGAATCTGCCCCCCCTCCCGTTTTTCGCCAATAACTTCTAAACGCGTTACGCCAGCGACGTCAAACTTTCAGTACCTTATCATACATCAATGTGACATGTTCCCTGAAAATTTGAGCGAAATCCGTCGGAAAATTTTTGAGAAATTGACGTTTTAGTGACGTCATGTTCGCCATTTTCGCCTCAAAAACGGCAAAATTTCAAACGCCGCTAACATCTTCATTTTTAAAGGAATCAAGACGTAACAAAAAAGGTTATACGTGATTCTACTTTGTCTATCAAATGGCTATCTCGGTTTTTTGAAAATTTTGGATTTCGGCCAAATTTTTTCAAAAAAACTGACTTTTTAGGGAAAATATTTATAAAATCCAAAATTTTGAGTTTATCGAAAAAAAACCGGAATATATGTCAAAGAAGTGGTCCATGTGCACCTACATACAAATTTTTGGAAGAATCGGTTCAAAAATGTGGGAGTCATTCAAAATTTTATGACGTCACGACACACAAAATTTTTGAAAAAAAAAATGATTTTTTGGAAGTTCTAGACCTCGTACGGAAACAAAAATAGCACCATTCGATTCGCCGTGAAAAACTGCATCGAATAGACACCTTTTTAGGCCTTAACAATCAACTTCAAAATTTGACCTCACTTGACCTGACCTTGACCTGACCTCAACCTGAAATTCATCCAGAGGTGGTCCATATCACTTATTGAGTGTGCCTATTGAATTCCACGAGTAAAATGACCCATAAAACATGTGTCGCACATGCCCTTTTCTATATTTTGTTTTTGGTGACCTGAACTGACCTGACCTGACCTTGACCTTGACCTTTGAATGACATTGTGTGCAACGAATATTGTTTTGGTAGTCTAAGAACACGTTTTGGGCAATCAGTCTCAGTCCATTCTTCGGCAACTACGGTGCAAGGCCGATACTGTAGAAACTTGCATTTTGTACCCTTGACCTGACCTTGACCTGACCTCCGACCTACTTAAGCAAAAAAATTTGGGCTCTTAAGATCCGCCTTGTTGAGAGCTTTCGATTGCCGTTTTCCCCGTCTTTCTACGACCATCGGTTCGGAAGTTAGACAGGGGGGGCAGAATCTGCCCCCCCCCCCAGCAGGGCGCGTATGGCTAAATAGCCCAGCGGAGCGCGGGTTAAGCTGCTTTTGACGCGGTTGTTTTCGTTATCGGTCGATACAACATGCACTTTTACTATATTTCAATGCTTACAGCTCAGTAAAATTTGAATATTACGTTTATGCCCCAGTAGATAATCAAACAGCAATTAATTACTGTTCGAATGATGGTACGCATACCCCCATTGCGCCTAGCCTAAGCTGCTTTTACCTCGTGTCTTCATTGTCCATCACCGGGTGCAATAGCGGTCTCAGGCCTTATCCGGGCAAAAATGATTTTTTTCAGGGTGAGGGGACAAACGCTCAAGCCATTTCTTTCAAATGTGGCTACTTGGTTAAATATTTCAAAATAAGAGTAAAGTTGGAGAACTTCACTTACCTATCAGTCGTTATTTGCCCAAGTTATTGCCTTGGGTAGGTACATTCGCAGTAGAATGAAGCACTACGTAGGTTTTATTCTATATCAACGTACGGTTCTCCAGGGTATTAGTCGTTGGTCGCTCGGCGAGCGGGAGGGCAACCAGTTCCGCCCCTGTATCGCGTGACCCCTTGCTCCGCCCAGTTACGCACGAGCGTATTCCACGCCGCGTAGTAGCGTGGGGAGGGGAGGGTTAGAATGGTGGCATGTGTAGAGGCTAGAACCGGTTTCCACCGCCATGCCACCGCCCAGCGACATGGAGCGGGGTCGGTGACCAGGGCGCAGGGAAAGGTCAGAGGTCAGCTATAACGTAGAACTCTCCCTCCCTCCCTCCTCCCTCTCCCCTCCGCGTGTAACGACCGCACGATAGCGGCCGGCCGCCGATCAGGCTAGACATGTCAAGGTCACCCGCAGTCAACGGGCTCAGAGGGTTGGTCGAGTGCGCGTCCGTGGCTGACGACAGTCTCGACCATGTGCTATGGTGCCGATAGACTAGCGTGGGTAATAAGTTTTTGTTCAGGCTGCTGGGGTGTGTCATCTTGATATGATGCTTTGTAACATGTATAATACGCAACCTCGCTGGCAGTGGCCGAGAGGAGGGGGGGGGGGGAGGCGGGTGCCGCCTACACATGCTTATTTTTGTTGATAGCTGCGAGAGCTGAAATTTGGCAAGCCTGACCTTTGGTTCAAGCTGAATTTTTATGACAGCAGCTGTATTTTCACCCTCGCCCATATTGGTGTTTTGCCAGCGTCTATCGTAAAGAGGGGGAGGAGGGTCCGTTGGACCCCTTTGCCGTTCAGCCCCTAATCGAGCTAGAGCTTTGCGGGAAAAGAGCGTGTTGCCCGTGACGAGAGGAGGCCGATGATACCCAATTTTAACCCTCGCCGGCACAGGGGGGTTGATGCAACCCCCCCCTAAGGTTTTTCGCGAATAACTCGCGTAAAAAGCGGCCGATCGCGACGAAACTTTCAGTACCCTCGCATTGATCAATTTTACGCCTACCCTGAAAATTTTTTGACCCTGACCCAAATGACCTTTGACCTGTGACCTCTTTTCCGAGACCATATTTGGCCGGAATCGCGATTCGGCGTATGTCGGCTCGCATTAGCCGCGCGTATGCAAGCTTTTCGTGGTTTCAAACGTTCAAACATGTGATTTGATGTTGCTCCCATACATTAGGGTGGGTTTCAAGGTCAGCTGAAGGTCAGGTCAGGTCATTGACCTTTGGTGACCTCGGGTGACCTCGGTTCACTTTTTCGAGTTTTATATGCTTCTAGGCTAGTTTTTGGAGCTGAATTCGAATTAAGCAACCATTTGAACATTTACGAAGTAGTTTTGGTGCCTTCGTAACATGTTACGAGGCTGTCAGAGGCGGTTGACACGTATTACGAATACCCGTCACAACCCCTACCGGTTGACCTGACCTGACCTGACCCGACTTGGTCTAAATGCTTAAAGACATCATCTCTGATCAAAGCTAATAAGACATTCGTGATCAGCACCCCGGAAAACCACATAGCAGCCACACTTTACGACTTTCTAACAGGTCCCGATTTTCCCGGTTTTTGGGTCATTGACCTGACCTGGAAGGTCACCCGATGACCTAGGACCTTAAAATTGGGTATCATCGGCTTCCTCTCATGACGGGCAACACGCTCGTTTTTTTTCCAAGCTCTAGCTCGATCAGGGGCCAAACGCGAGGGGGGGGGGGTCGTACCAACCCCCCTTGTGCCGT